ATTCTCTTGGGGAGATTCTCTACCAACACATGCTGTATCGGATTCGGAACCTATCCTCCTCCTGTGCCGGCCCGAAAAGCACACGACCGATCGGGTTCATTTATCGATCGGTCGATTGGTTAAGCCTCAGCAAGGGACCTGGTGCTTGCCCAGCTAACCCGAGCGAGAAACCACACCTTTTTTACAGCTGAGTCTCAGGCCGGCCTAGTGAACTTCGACTGTGTAGCACGAGTGCCATCAGCACTCGGATGGACTGGACGTAACAACAAGAACATTACAAAACGTACAAGCCGGTAATCAGTCTCGTGTTGGGGTGAGAGATTTTAATCACCGCAGATCGCGGAATATGATCCAATCAGATCGCATTAGGGGTCAGAGGGTATTTACTTGCTTAAGGTCACGGGTGAGAGGGACGAGACGACGGAGCAATCGCACTGTATACGCACTCTGTATACGTATATGATGGCTCACCCATCGTGTCTAGGATCGAAGGGGTCCCAAAGACGATTGGTGAGTGAAAAGTATACGGAGCCAAACTTGTTACTCGTTTCAGAACTGTGTTCAATAAAGTGTATGAGAACCTCGGAACACTGAGCGGTTGAATTCACACGATTTAGCTGCAGTCAACACAATCATACATACCAAGCAACTACGGTTTTCCCTCTTGGAATATCATCGAAATAACACCATCGATTTTGTCCATATAAAGTACATTTGTACTTCGCCTATCCCCCGGGCATTTTGCAATCCCACAGACACGCGCGCACGCATTTTACCATGTGTGTCGCGGATGCTCTTGCATGTTTGTTGTGATAAAACTGCATGGTTGTTGCCATATTGCACATCCGTACACTAAGAGGCCAGTTTTTAAAGGACACGGTAAACGATACGAGTTAAGAAGTCTCTATCACGTGTACTGGTAGGGACACATTCTGACACAGTCGAACTGGCGAGGGGGAGTGAATGAGACATGTCTGTGTATGTTATGTATGTCTTGTGAAAGGAGGAGAAAAGCCACTGTTGATTTGCCCAACCCTCCCCACAATGCTGGAAAATAAAATACAAAACAAAATGAAAAAACAGAGAGAAGCGTGATCGGCTGGTTCACGTTAGAGTTACAATTGTGTACAGATACATGGGTAAACAACCGCTCCCACAGTTTAAGCCATCTACAAACAAGCGGTGAGTCAGGCTGACCAAGATACGGTTGTACATAAACACAGGAAGGCTGGTTTGTTGCTTAGCTCTATAAGCCAAATAACAACTCTACCTCTCTCTATTAGAATGCAGGGAATTTAAAGCACTGAGTGCCACAGGCCTCCATGAATCTTATTGTCTGTGACATTAGGACGTAGTGTAAATGAGGGTGATTGATTAGGTTCCAAAAAGGATTTCGGCCAGTAGTGCTATCATATGAAAAACATAAGGCCCCCACTTACCTAAAAACACAGGCTTCAATAGTCCTCAAAACGCATATGATGGGGGGGGGACATAATGAAATTAAGGAGTCATATCAGAAAATCTGCGAAAACGCCCCAAAACTTGTTTGTGACTGAACTGCTATTGACTATTGAGAGGACAATGAGCCAATTTGCCGAATGAACTGGCAGAAGTAGATCACCTACAGAAAAGAATCAACGAGAGCCAAATTATCATGCTCGCAAGCAGTGAGAAGAGCGTCAACTGCCAAACCATTTGTAAGGTTTGTTTCATTTCATGATCATCTTGTACGGCAGGCAAGTCAATGACCGAAGCCAATCATGAGTACATACCGTGTTCTATACCTGTTACAATTCAAGTTGTCCGGGTATCATTTCAAGTTGTCTGGGCATCATTTCAAACTGTCTCAGTGTCATTTCAAATTATCTCATTTCAAGCTATCTCGTTGACCGCATTGGCGCTAACAGACCTGCCAGCGATGTCTGGATGACCACCATGCAGCACAGATTTCTTTACCTCCCGTTGTAGCGTGGACGGACGATT